CTGAGATGAATCTCGTCTACAAGAAACTCCTGTTGACTACATTGCTCTTAAAATGAAAGGCTGAGCAGCCTAAAATGTGTAATACATGTGAGTTCAGTTTGGAGGCGTAAGTGCTTCGCCGTGTGGGGGTCAAGTACGATCTTAGTGCTCCCTTAAAATGTATTAACGCTGATAGAGCAAAATGTAACTGGGAGAAGTTATTTCTAAACTTCCAGAAGAGAAACATGTCAGGGGTAGATGCAAAGTCATGTTTTCCAGCTGATCCACTGTGACAGGTCTGTAGTTGAACAAGAGTTCATGTACACTGAATTCTTGCAGAATGGTGGATTTTCTGTATTCATCGTTGTATTATGAATCTGAAACTGGAAACAGAATTTAACACAGAGAGAATAAAGAAGCTTCATGAGTTGTAGCTTCAAAATAGAAAACCTTAAGCCAGAGAGTGTTCTTGAAATTCTTAGTTCACAGTCGTGATTCTAGGTAATCTGGTTAAATCTGTGAACTGTATCAAGTAAAGCAGTGCACATAGTAATGTGGGTGACAGAAAAAGAGTTCACAAAAGTGGAATTTCTACATTAATTTAAAAGAGATTCTCAATTTTTCTTTTTAAGTCTTTGACAATGACTGGTTGCAGCCGCCTTTGCTGGGTCTGAGGAAATCCCGGGCTGATGTCGATTTGTCTGCTGTGTGCCATGGGTCAGTAGTTTGGTGAGAAGCTGAAACGATTGGCAGTATCATCTCTCTTGGTTATCATTCCCATGGGTGACACTGCAGAACTGATCACCCTCAGAAGAAATCCTGGCTGAATTTAGGGATGTTCTGTGTTGCACAGCAAGGGTCTTAATGACCACTGTGGTCATTCAGAGGTCCTGAGGGTAGAGAGCCATGCTCTGATAGAAAAGAGAGAAAGTCTTGGAATTTGGGAGCTGAAAACGTCACCCCTAAAGAGCTGAAAATTCAAAAGAGCAAATGCTTCTTGGCAATTAGAAAGCAGTTTGCAGAAATAAAGGTTCACTCTATGTGTTACTGGTTTCAGTGAGGTCTAGTAACTTGCACTGGCACAATTGTAGTGATTTTAGTCTAAAGGGTAGCCAGCTTTCTGGCACTTTGAACAGGTACCAAAAAAGAAGGCAATGGAGAAGGTATCCTATGTCTGTGATAGCCTTGAAAAAATGCCCTGTACTGTCATTGCATCTGTGAATTTCAACTGTAAGTGCCAGGCCATTCTGCTTGTGCTAGAAATAGTGTTCTTATTAGCTCTCTTACTACAGCAGCAGAAGGTACGTATTCTGGCATGTCTGTATCCACACCTGTGGATCTTATTCATACAGACAGAAAATGCTTTCCCATGCTTGACCTGTAGACCTTTGTACATGGGACAATGCACATTCATTGTATTGTCTCGTGTTTCAGGGTTTTTTTATGTGTATATATACTATGGTAAAGATGTCAATACATTATATGAAGTTGCTATGAAGTATAATGACATAATAGTACCACTGCAAATATGAGAAGTCATATATTTGAGATATAGTTCTTCACACAGTAGTGAACATGACGGATGTTGGACCTATTTACAAGTAACGAGGTTGCGCAAACTCTGCAGGAAGTGTTTGTGGGAATGTTCCTTCGTTGGTATGTTCTGCAGTTTCTTTTTCAGCATGCAGGCAAGCAATGGAGCAATTAGCACTGATGCAGACTCAGATAGCTTCCATCTTCCATCACAGTTTATTACTTCATTTGTAGATTAAACAGAAGACGTTCGCAGTGTGTTTTCCATGTAAAGTAGTTCAGCATTTTATGTTTCTCTGTCAGACACAGTGAAAAAAACAGTTGCAGAAGCTGATACATGTGTATGGCAGTGCTGTGATATCTTTTGAGAAATAGGGTGTGAACATATAATTAAAGACTACAGGATACGTTTAACACTTTGTGGCTAAGGTTAAAAAAAACATGTAGCTCCTCATTTCTGCATCTTCCCGCTGGAGAGGCTTGTTCTGAAGGAGAGACTTGAGGTTTCTTTCCTAGGAGGCCTCCTACGTGTACTAGAAATAGCTGGGGTGCGACATGCCCTAGTTACATCCCCTGCACGAGTGGCGGTGAGGACAATGTGGTGGGAGCAAGCCAGCTCCGTAGCCACTGGCAGTACAAGAAGCATGGTGGGGAGAGCTCCAGCTGCTCCTCCTGCACCCACAGCCACGTAAACAGGACGTGCTTGTGCACAAAAGTAAAGTGTTTACATTGTCTTCGCTGCTTCCTGAGTTTCAAGAGGAGGGGAGAAATGGCAGGAATAGGCACAGGACAGTGGAAGTCCTTACCTGGGCTCTGCCACTTGCCAGAGGACCGCACAGAAGCAGTCCCTACTCTTTCGCGCTGCCCAGGGCCCCTTCACTGTGCCTGGCATGCTGCAGGGTGAGTTGCACTTGGGTTAATCCAAGTGCCAAGAACGGTCCTACCCTTTTCCCAAGAAACAGACTGAGATGAGTCCCTCTGCCTTCTCTGTCACACATTTTGGGGGAACTGGGAGCATGGGGCTGTTTGACCTTTAAGACGTCTTGACATAAGGGGCAGTAATCTGTCCAAGGAGGTGATTCTGCCCCACTACTGTGCTCTGGTGACACCCCACCTGCAGTACTGTGTCCAGCTCTGGAGTCAGTACAGGAAAGATACAGACCTGTTGGAGAGGGTCCAGAGAAGGGTCACAAAGATGATCAGAGGTATGGAGCACCTCTCCTATGAGGAAAGACTGAGAGAGTTGGGGTTGTTCAGCATGGAGAAGGCTCCAGGGAGACCTTATTGTGATGTTTCACTTCTTAAACGGGGCCTGTAGGAAAAGTGGGGAGAGACTCTTTAGCAGGGCCTGTTGCACTAGGATGAGGGGTGATGGTTTTAAACTAAAAGAGGGGAGATTCAGGCTGGATGTGAAGGAGAAATGTTTTACAGTGAGGCTGGTAAAATACTGGCACAGGTTGGCCAGAGAGGTGGTGGATGCACCATCCCTGGAGACATTCAAGACCACGCTGGATGTGGTTCTGGGCAACCTGATCTAGTTGAAGATGTCCCTGCTCATTGCAGGGGGGCTGGACTAGATGAGCCATGAAGGTTCCTTTCAACCCAAACTATTCTATGATTCTAACCTATCTACCGGTACAGAGAGAAAATACCTATCGGAAAATACAAGCTTATCCCCTCAAAAGTTGCCAGATGACGTAGGCAGCTGCAGTGTCTGAAATTCTGGGTTCTTTACACCAGGTAGATTTCAGGTTGTGTCCCATTAACGCAGACCTTAGGATTCCTTAAATACACTTGTGTGATTATAGCTAACCTATTACAGCTAAAGCTGCTTTATTAATTACATTGCCGTGTTGGGTTGTAACATGCTCAAAATATCAGTGCTGATAATCTTGGTCACTTCTTACTTTCAGCACGGCTACGTTCTTTGTACATGCTGTCACATCACAGTGCTGTAGATGCACCAGGGTTATCACAGGCAGGGCGTTATTATTCCAGCAAAGCTATTTCTTTGTTATTTCAATAGGAAACAGAAGATAGGCGATAAGCTAACAAACTGACAATGGGTGGAAGTTCATTAAAAATATACGTCCTTGTTGTATGCATGATGTATTTAGAAGTTAAGCCCTCTGGAGCAGCAGGTGTTTGTACAGTGCCACTACAATGGGGCCTCGCGTGTCACCAGATTGGCAGTGCTGATGGTAATCAAAGCTGACTCTTTGGCACGCTGGCAAGTTAGGTGGGGTCAGGGAGCTGGTAGCTATGTACAGTTCTGGTTGTGAGGCATGTGTGAGGTGGCTGGGCGAGGGGCTAGAACAAGCACCTTCCACAGAAGGCGTCCGTGTTTCTTTTTGGCGAGCTGTATGTCAGAGGTAGTATGTTGCTGCAGTTACTTTCAAATCACCTATTTTTTTTTTCTTTTAAAATAAATATTGCATTAAGCTGCGGTCTAGCTTTGTAATACACAAGTAGGTCAAAGTGCTGTCATGACTGTCTTGTATACCACCTACAAACACAGCTTAAAAATATGTCAAGTGCCAAATTAAACAGGAAGAGCAAGCGATGCACTCTAATTCCTCGACTTGTGCTCAAGTCTGGAGCACAGTTTAGCAGTGGTGTGACAGAAAGAACATCGCACCTCTGGCTTTTGACATCGCTTTCACCAGCAAATGTGGTGGAAACCTGGACTGTTTTCCAGTGCTGTGAGCAGGTTGAGTCTGTTGCTGGGCACAGTGTGCATTTAACCTTCACAGTATTGGAGGCACAGAGTTTGCATCTGTAAAGTGGTTGCTTCACCCTCAGTTTCAGACACTGTGAAGGTAAAGCAGCACAGTTAGTGCACACAGGTACCACTATCATCATCCCCCTGGATCCCCTGACATAAGGAGGTGTGAAAAAAACCTCTCAAGTTTGCTGACCTGCAGATAATTTTTTTAGGAAATAAGCAGCTGTAAAAGTGCATTGAAAAGATACCCCAGCTTCTTGAAAACATCCAGCCTAGAACATCTTTTTTGCTTGTTAATGGCATTTCCCCTGGCCTCCACCATTTCCCCTGGTCATTCCTGCCTTTGTGGGAGCAGGGTGGAGCTGGGGATTTGCAGCAGGTACCAATGTGCTTTTGAGCTTCCTCGGGAGGTGCAGGGCTGCTTCCCTCTCCACTGACAGCTGGGGCACTGGGGAATACACACCCCATCTACAGCCAGCCCCTTCCTTTGTGGCTTTGGTGCCATCTCTAGTATTTTGATACACAAAATTCCCTCTTTGTGTGCTCTCACGCACATGGGGACGTGTGTGTGGGAGAAAGACGACTAGGTTTGTGAAGCTCAGATGTTTCTCAGGCAGTGTGAGGATACGGAATGCTGTCCCGTTTGGGATGCTTTCTGATATGAGCTGCACCCAAGCTTAGTTAGTCCAGCGCTGGCCATCTGGGTGAACTGCTCTCCCCACATCACCTAAAAGAGCAATCATGCTTTCCTTTCTCTTAACAGATAATCCTGAAATAGCCAGCAGGAGTGGAACAGAGTGTCACGAAGCCTCCCTGCGGACGGCCAAGCACGGCTACTGTACATACTACCCCGTCTCCTCCTCTCTAGAGTTGCCACAAACTGCATGCTAAGTCAAGAATTTGTTCTTATGGACAAATCACAAACTCAAAAAAGCTAGTGCTGCTATGTCATATATGAATATTAAATATGGTATGCTTACTATACTCCAACCTAAAGTAGTTAACTACCTGATACCAGCTGTGATGTTTCAAGACATAAAGGGTAACATTTAGTTTTAAAGATTTTTCTAAGCATAGTTTAATTCTTGCAAATACTGTCTTTTCTCCATAACTATACCTAATGGAAATGGTCCAGTTAAGTTAGTCTCGCGAGATTCAGTGTTTATGAATCTTTCGAGCTCAGCAATAATGAAGTTGCATTGGCTAAAATCTTATCCCGGTTGCAGGTTTAATTTTCACCCAAACTACGATTGGGGTTTTCCTTCTCGCTTAAAAAACGTCTTGGTTTTGCTCCCCCAGCGAGTCGATTCCAAGACAGAGGAAGTGAAACGCAGCCCAGTGTCCTGCACATCACCCCGCCAATCTGAATATCTTTAGCCAGAAGTCCAAAGCAAAGCACAATTTAGATGCACATGGTTGGTGTTTGACTTGTGTGGAGAAGTTGCATTTGAATCATAGCAGAATAGCAGAAGAAAATTTAAAAATTTGCACAGTATGAACTTCATACCCCTTTCAATCCCCGAAAGAACAAAGTCTTGAGAATATTATTTTACGAGTGTATTTATAATGTTTTTAAAAGAGACTTTGCAGAAGTGCCTAAATTTTGTCACATCAGACTTGATGAAAGTGAGCCTGATGCCAACAGTCAAATGTCACCAGAAGCGAATAATCTGTCAAAACTCATTGTCAGGTTAACCAAAAAGATCCGAGCTGTTACGAAGTAACTTGTAGAAGTGTAAAAATCAAACACACACACACAAAAGACCAAACTAACAAAAGAGAAGGCGAAAAAGAAGGCTGTAGATGAAGACTGTGTGATACTCTAATTTAATTAAAATTCAGTTGCGTCACTGAAACTTCATCAGTGACTTTAATCTAGACTATTAACTGAACACTAAGAATGTAGAATGAGATTCAGTTTAATAAATCATTGCTGTATTTGCATTTTTTTTAATTGGATTATAAGCTTGTAACCAGATTAGAGTGGAGAAAAAAATAGTTCTTTTAATTGTTTTTCTTTAAAAACATATTTTATGTCACAAAAGTATGAAGATATCTTTAATACAATTATATACATGTTATATATACATACATACATATATACATATATATGGATGAAGCAGATTTTAATGTTGTTTACTTTTTTAAATACTTTGTTGATTTACAAGGTAATTATATATGTATAATTAAAATTTCATTTGTTTGATTTGAGATTTGTTTCAAGCACTATTGTACCAAATATTTCATATTTCACATTTTATATGTTGCACATATATCTCATAAATGACATAGTTTTTAAATTATTGTTTAAAGAAAACAGGACAGCTGTTATAAGTGGATATTATGTATAATTGTTTGCAGCATAAGTTTTCTATGTGGACATTATTAGTGATTGCAGTATTTTAACTTAACCTCTTCAGATTGATTGTAAACTATTTTAAACTTTGGCAGCACTGCCTGTTCGGAACGACTGAAGGCACTAACCATATAATTATTTGTCGAGGAAATTCTCTTCCAGGCTAAATCTTGTTTGTCCGATGTCTAATTACTCTCTATTTATAGATGAAGCTGGAGATTTGATCATCCGAAAGAAAAAATAAATAATCACAATTCGATTGTAAAATTAACATAGTGCTTGTAACGTTGCATTAGTTTAATTTGTGGAAAAATAATGTATCTTAACTCGTTACTTTAGCAGTTAAGGTATCACCATTATATACTATTAAAACACTAATATTTGTAGACTTTCTCAGTCATTATAACTAGGTAGTTGACACTGCAACTTGCCTATATCTGTCAAAGTTGTTTTTATTTTTTTATAATAGTTAATTTAGGCATTTGGGTAGCTTATTGTATAATACTAAATGGTAAATTATCCATGTTGTTTAAATATTTTATGTAGATAACTCTCCAGGACATTGTTTTGTGTGAACTTTTTATGTTTCAAAATAACTGTTATTCTATGTTTTTTACAATTAATCCAAGACTCCTATTTTTTGCCCATGGATGATGAAGCTTCAGATACATCAGGTCTTTCATCCAGACAAACTGACAGACAAAAAGAGAAAATGTATTTTTTAATAAGAGATCCACTTTCTGACTTTATGACTTTGTAATATTCCTGAAAACTGTACAAGTACAGACCTATGCTAACAGTAAGGAGGCAATTACAGAGATGTGCAAATACGTGTACAACAGATTCTGCATTTTATTTATTTATAAAGTAATTTTATAGACTATTTCAAAATTTGGGAAGATCTAAAACTATTTTTCTGTATAAATATTATTTGCCAAAACTTTGTTTATATTTTAAGAAAAAAGTCTAATGAAAATGATTAAATTTTAAATGCTTTGTTTAATTAAAAAAAAAGACAAAAAAACAACAAATAAAACTCCCCTAAAAGAACCATGAGATGGGCCAACATGGAGACCGTGAATACTGTAGCTGGGACACGGTTTCAAGTGACTGAGATGTCTCAGTGTTTATTTTCTTCAGAGGATGTACAGCACCTCACCAAAATACCTTTTTGTTTGCCTCTCTCATCCAGCATAATTGACGACACATACGATGAATATTTCAGTAACAGTTAAAAGAAACCCCTCCATTCACTCTTTTCCAGCATATAACTACTAGTGGTCTGTTAAATAGCCATTCTATTTCTGTTGTGACGTTAAATTCATTCACCCAATGTACAACCACTGAAATAAAAAGAAGCATTTTAAAATGAGAGAGGAGTCGGGGACATTCTTTCTTGTGGCGTGGCTCTTGGAGGAAGGGCCGGGGGTAACAGAATAGTCAAAGGAAAGTGGAGGAGTCTTGAAAAAGTGTATATTATTTTTTTTTTTATTCTACTTTGGTTTATTTTTATTGTGGGTTTTGTTATTGTTGTTTTTTATTTTTTAGTTTGATTTTTTTGTTTTGCTTTGCTTGATTTTATTTTGGTTTTTGGGGGGGGGGTATTTTATTCTGTTTGGTTTACTTTGCTTTATTTTGTTTTATTCTATTTTAGTTTGGTTTGGTTTATTTTGCTTTATGTTATTTCATTTTGTTTGGTTTGGTTTTTGTTTGCTTTTCTTTGTTTTATTTTGATTTTTTGTTTACTTTTACTTTGTTTTATTTTATTATTTTAGTTTAGTTTAGTTATTTTTCTTTTTTCTTAATTGCAGAGTCAAGTAACAAATCCTTTAGGGCAGTCCCCAGAGGCAGGGCACATGCAGATGCTATATGAAGAAGCACGTACACTTCTCCTGCTGAAGACGTGCTGAGGATACCACACTGCATGGCTTTATCCCCAGACAGTCCTTTCATGCACTCTCTGCTTGCTTGTGCATGCTGGGGTGCAGGCAGGCAGTGGTTATCCCAGCGGTGTGGCTCACAAATGCCTAAGTGTTGGGGGACTTATTTGCCAGTGCATCCTCTGCATTTTCCTTTCTTGCCTACATCTCAGAGCATATTATAACAACAAATACTCCCCGTTATCAACTAGTTCCTCTGGGGAGAGCAGCATCGCAGAGGATTTGCATGCCCAAGGGCAGAGATCACACAGCAAGCCACTGATAGAGGAGGGATTAAAATGTCTGTCTTGCAGTTCCGTGGTTTCTTCACACCATCTTCTCTGATCTGTTTTTGTTAAAATACTTAGAAAAGAAAGACAATTCCTGCACAATCAAGAAGAGTTTGTGTCATGAAGTTGCGTATATTTTATCGGCACAGGGCTGAAAAGGAGACCAAGGTCACAACTGATGTGGAAAAGCACCAGGTCAACCAGTCAATCTGGACATAGCCCAAACACACTGAGCCAGAAGCCTGCTGAGAATAAGCATGTGGGATGGAGAGGAGATACATGGATGACTTGCAGGGACAGAGAAGGACTGGAGCATTAGAGGGCTGCAAGAGCACAGTAGAGCAGAAGCAGCAAATGATTCAACTCCCAATCATTCAGGAGCGGACACCCTGTCTGTTCACACTTTTTGTGTTAAACCTCACCCTGGACAGTTGTCAGCTGCCAGGAAGAGTCAGGACATGTTGATTTTCTTGCGTAAAAGCTGCTTTGTTTCTTGTCAACTTTGCCACTTCTTTGGCAATTGAGAAGTGGCTGTGGGAGCTGTGAACTTTTAGGAGCAGCGCCAAACTGGAGATCTGTGTACACCCCTGTGTGTGGAGCCTACCCCCTACAGATAATATCAGTGTTTTCAAAATGAAGCAAGATACTTCTAGGAAAGAGGCTTTATTCCCCTCACCAAGCACATCCTCACGGACAGACAGGGGCCATAGCCCTGGTGCCAAAGTCCCTCGCCCCAGGCCAAGCAATGCAGCAGCAGCATCACTTTGCTCAACATCAGCCTTCTCTAGAGCAGACCTTCCAGGTCCACATGCACAGTGTTTCTCTTGAGCATCATCACTGGCCGCACATGGTGTAGCCATAACCGTAAGGCATAATTATTATTTTCAGTATGTTTTGCTTGGGTTTTAGTTCAAAAGTCTGAAGTAATCTGAGGGCTGGGTTGTTTTTCTTCTTGCAGCCCACTGGAGTTAACAGCATGAAACAAAAGGGGATGTGACATTTGAGGCATCAGAGCCTGCTGGGATAGCACTGCATGTCTGCATACAGCAAAGGAAACCAAAACTGGTTCAGCCTTGCTTATGCTGCATTTTGGGAATATCTGGTGAGCAAGCGGCTGAAAGAACAGCTGGGTTTTCAGGAAGAGTTATTTCACTCCAGGAGAGAGCCTAGAAGACCTCAACACCTCTGTACTGGGAGTGATGCTGGGAAAAGGACTTTAGGGCATAGGTCCCTGACAGTGTGGGCAGGCAGTCTGCCCACAGTGACCAGTCTTCTGCTGGTGGCACTTACTGCATGAATTCAAGGGACCCGAAAAATGCCTTGCCTAGAATTGCTGAAAACCTTCCTTGGCATCCTATCATATGCATACTGTGCTCTTTATGCCTGCAATCATTTCTCTAGCCAAGCCTTTTGTCGAGTAACCTGTCTTTTTAATGTCACATAATGGACAGTTCTGGAGGCTTTTTGCATGGTCAGGATGATTTTTAATGCTGGACTGAATGTATGTGTGAAGGCAATACCATCTTAGCTGTTGCTTTAAAGCAGTTATTATTGCTGGTGTGTAATGTATTGGAGCAAATAGTGATAGGTGTAGGATATATAGATTGTGAGTGAATAAATTAGAGAAACATCTTCTAAATTTTTACTCTTCTAATTTTGTAATTATGGAAACTATAGAAATTGTAAAAAGTAGAGTACATTTCATTACATGACAATACCTTCTGTTGTAGCAGGGGAGGAAACCACTAAGAAATGTGAGAGGAATATATTGGTATGATCTGCTTATGCAATGTTGTGTTGCAGTTGCATTATTTCCTCCAAAGCTTCTTACAGAGTGAGGAATATACACTTGGCTATATGATTTAGGAAAATCACTACAGGAAAGACGCCCTGTTCCTCTCATCTTCAAAGAGCTGGATTTGGATACTACTTGTAAGGGAAACAAATTCAGGTGAGTGTCCTCCTCAGTCTAATTGCCACAAAACAGTCAGGGTGTAGCCTGCATGGTGGGTGGCTCCTCAGAGGATGTGGTGGTGACAAGGGTGACCACAATGGTGTGAGGTTCACCTTGTAGGAGCAGCCCCCAGGACTAGTCACACAGAGGAGTTCCTGCATTAAACTTGAGCTGTGTTTACGTTTGCCATGAATGCCTCTCCTTTTCACAGAGGGCTACAGGGAGGACATGGTTTTATTTCCTTGTTTTATGGTTGTAGTCACCACACTGAGTGCCAGCAGAGCACATTCAGAGGTGCTGAAGTTGGGAGCTGACAGCACAGCTCAGGACTGCAACCAAGCATTTCACACTTGGAAAAGTTCTGAAGGTGGGATCCAGCTTTCTCCCCAGGGATGTCAGGTATCATTTCAGACACTGCAGGGTGCCTGCTTGGCCTAAAGCTGCTGCTATGGAGGAGCAAGGGTCTGGACGCGTATCTTAAGTCTGTCAGCCTCATGCAGGTATCTCAGGTCAGAGAATCACAGAATGGTTTGGGTTGGAAGGGACCTTAAAGATCATCCAGTTCCACCCCCCTGCCACGGGCAGCAATGCCTCACAGCCACAGCTTCTTTTAATGGAATTCTTCACTATAAGACTGGTGAGACCCTGGAACAAGGTTGCCCAGAGAAGTTGTGGATGCCCCATCCCTGGAAGTGTTCAAGGCCAGGTTGGATGGGGCTTTGAGCAACCTGGTCTAGTGTGAGGTGTCCCTGCCCATGGCAGGGGGGTTGGAACTGGATGATCTTAAGGTCCTTTCCAATCCTAACTATTCTATGATTCTATATGAAATCTTATTACATCAGCTTGTCAGACAACTCTACACTTTCTCGCTTGCAGCCGCTCTATTTGCTGGTATTTATATGGATTGCCTAAACAGTGGCAATAGTTTTCTTCTGAGCATCCTTTTCTGTATGCAAGCAGAAGAGAAGTATGCTTTTACCACACAAAAATCAGGCCTTTTGCATCCAGCCTCAGGCTTCCTGTATAAGCAAATGGTAAGAGAGAGGGAGGCTTTGCCAGAGGGCAACAACATTCAATTTGCAGGCAGGATTGCCTCTTCTGGAGCCTTTCCAGCCTGGCTGCCTACAGAGATGCCTAAGGTGACCCACTCCATGAAGCTGGGGCACACAGCAAGGTGCTGTGCATGCCCATTCCTGCCCCCAGAGTGTCAGATCCTTCTTGTTCTGTCATTCACATGAGCTTCTCTTTTAAGCACATAGGCACTACAGGAACCCCATGCTGCCTGTCAGCTTCTATGCCTTTGTTTTTATCTGAGGGTGGTTGTTTTCTAAAACATCATGTTCCTCTTTTTTTCCTTTCATGCTAGAAATGATGTAGGTTTTTTTACCATCATGTGGTTGAGGAGCACAGCTCGATCTTTGCACCATTGCAGCGCTTTAACATGTCATTCAGGCCCATCACTTGGAACGAATTGATTTCTCTCACCAGCAGAGATAGAGCATGCTGCCTGAAATGTGAGGAGATGATTTGTAAATGACCAGTTCTGCAGTAATCAAATAACATTCCCCACTGCTACATGTGCACATTAATATGAATCCTTTACTGCTTAGGGAAACTTCAGGGGGAAAATGTCCTCTTCTGACTTACAAGAAGTATTAGCCAGTCCTGTTTTAATCTGTGCATAGAGGCTTTTAGAATCATAGAATAGTTAGGGTGGGAAAGGACCTGAGGATGATGTCATTCCAACCCCCCTGCCATGGGCAGGGACACCCCACACTAAACCATGTCACCCAAGGCTCTGTCCAACCTGGCCTTGAACACCACCAGGGATGGAGCATTCACAGCTTCCTTGGGGAACCAATTCCAGTGCCTCACCACCCTCACCGCTTCTTCCTTATATGTAACCTGATCTTCCCCTGTTTAAGGTTGAACCCATTACCCCTTGTCCTGTCACTACAGTCCCTAATGAAGAGTCCCTCCCCAGCATCCCTATAGGCCCCCTTCAGATACTGGAAGGCTGCTATGAGGTCTCCACGCAGCCTTCTCTTCTCCAGGCTGAACAGCCCCAACTTCCTCAGCCTGTCTTCATACAGGAGGTGCTCCAGTCCCCTGATCATCCTCGTGGCCCTCCTCTGGACTTGTTCCAACAGTTCCATGTCCTTTTTATGCTGAGGACACCAGAACTGCACACAATACTCCAGGTGAGGTC